CTAGGAGAATGGCTAAACAAGAATTATTGCTATTTTCCGCTTGTATAGTCGTTCAAGTCGAAATTTAAACTGAAAAAAGAAAAGCAAATAAAATAAACAAGGGCACAGAATTTCCGAAAAACTCAGCAGAAGACCTTTTTTTCATTCTTCTTCCCATCCTTCCCGCCTTTGGTTCCGTCTCGTTCTGCCTGAAAAATACTTTTGATTCAACATTTGGTTGCATTTGCTCGAAACACAATCACAGCATTTTTAAATCGTATTATTGCGTATAAGATTAGCTGGATTAAGCACGGCGCTCCTCATCGATTAGATTTTTTTTTCAGCCTTAATTTCAGCGGAAGTCTTCTTCGAACTGCATTGACTGGAAAAAAGGAAAGTGGATGGGAGTGGGCTCATCAGTGCAAACGTCACACTATTGGCATACCCACAAGTGATCGAAATCATTAAGATATGATATGGTGACTTTCATCACAAGAGCGATGATTCGCTTGAGAAGACTGTAATCGACAATTATCCTCTTTAATTCGTGTGTCATTAATAGTAAGAATGGTGTTTTGTGCTCTTACTCAAAGCTGCTCTCATGTCAGGAAATCACCTTATTTTGTTTTGTTTTACCGTCTTTATCTTTTCCTTTCTCGCCTCTCCTATCGTTTTTTTCACCCTGTAAAGTGAATGAATCAACCCGGAGTCAGCTCAATGACACATGATTACAACTGTTATTTGCTGCTTAATTCAGCACAGCAATTTCTTTGATGTGACAGCATGAAAGTTCGAAAACAGCTNCTATAGAATGTGTGGTCAACAATTGTAAACCGTCAATTCACAGTCACAATCAGGCTGTAATTAACAATGCTCCTTGTCTCAAGATCAATTTCTCTTTTTAGTGAGAAATACTGAAACGGGACGAGAGCAGATGAGAACAACTCTCCTGAGATGACTCAAACCCGATAACGCTGCCTCTCAAAACAGACCCAGGAAACGACGGATGCCAACTATGGAAATTTCTTATGATTATTTTGAAATCGCATTGATCGATTCGTATAAATCCTCGAAGAACACCCTCAACTGATCATCCATAATAACCTTCTTTCCTCTTCCTCTCTTCGAATCTTCAGTTTCTGTTCTTTGCGTGATTTCAGCTTCTTTATCAGGCATTTGCTCTAAACATTCGAAGGATTTTCATGCATCAAGTGTGACTGTTTCATTTGTTTACAGTAATGTTTATTCGAAATGCAAAACGATAATTCATTTTACGAAGCGCCGAAATGTAATGGAAATTCACCTGTTAGTAGCTGTTAAAGAATAACAAATAGATAACACCACGAAGCCAATAAAAGCAAATTGACCTCACTCGGTCAGTATAAAATACACAAATGAGCAGTCGAACAACGAAATATTCGTCGTTTTGTTGTTCATCTCAATATTTCCATTCAGTATACAAATATTTGACGAAAACGTAAACTGGAAAATGCAAATTCTTGAAGGAGCAACGAACAAATGCAAATTAGTGGTAATGTTGAAGATTGGAATGCTATCGTAAAAAATAAATTCCTGTTTATTTTTTAAAGATCTGAATGCGAATTGAGTACATTTTCATGATCGGGGATTGAATGATGTGTCATGCTGCTGTATGTGATGAATATTGTGAACGAGAATGTGTAATTTTATTTTTGCTGCCGAGTTTTGATCAAAAAGANTACATAAAAGCAAGGTTGATGAAAGATGTTTTTGTTCAGATGAGGCGAATGCAATTCACTGAAGTTGTTTACTCGAATCTTCTTAACTGGACCACTGATCGAGGTGGACAAGGACAGTACGCAGCATCGTTGCCAGGACGACCGAGCTCGCCTTTCGCACCAGGCTTGCCATCCTCTCCAGGTGCACCTTGTTTTCCTGGTGGTCCCTCGGGTCCCTGTGGTCCTGGTTGACCATCTGCTCCATCTTCACCTGGTGGCCCTTGTTTGCCCTCTGGTCCGGCTGGTCCTGGAGGTCCTTTAGGACCAGGTTTCCCAGACCCTTTCGAGCCGTCTTTTCCAGGAGGACCTGCTTCACCGGGTGGACCAGCTGGACCGTCTGGTCCTGGTTCTCCTGGAGCACCTTCTGGACCGGGTGGTCCTGGTTTTCCAGCCGGGCCGCCTGGGCCAGGTGTGCCATCTGGTCCAGGTGGTCCGGGTGGTCCATCTGGGCCTCTTTCACCAACTGGTCCAGGTGGGCATTTGACGCATCCAATGTCTGCGCGACTGCAAACCACCTCGCCATCCTTCATAATATACGAGTCTCCTGGTGGTCCAGGTGGGCCAGGTGCTGAAATTAGAATATTCAGTGGAGTTTGTGCCTTTCGCACCGCTCACATTTGTAATACTGAAATTATCTATAAAAGATTTTGTAACGTCTTTGTCAAATATCTTATTGAGAATTGTAATAAAGGTGGCGATAAAGATTTTTTTGAAGCGGCTGAGTGTATTATAGAAAATGAAAATAACTTACGTCCATCTGGTCCGGGATCACCTTCAGGTCCTGGAGGTCCGGGTGGACACACTCTCTTCTTCGGCTCACAAATACAAAACGAGGGTAATCCAGCGTACATCTGTTGACGTTTCTCACGAAGAAGGCTGGTGAATGGATTTGCACGTGGTTTACCGGGCGGTGTGAACCTGACTTGAATGTTGATGATGTCTGACCAGGCCGTATCGGTATCAACTCGAAACACTTGAACACCGTCGATCACTTGCGTTTGTATCTCATTGATTGTCATATAGAGTGATGGAATAACGATCAAGCACGCCAGTACCGCAAACGTGCTGCACAGTGCAACACCGCACAAAATAATCTTCGTTTCATGCATTTCACGAAACTTTGACAACAATACAATGATGCCGAGCCGTTGAAACAACGACGTTTTATACGGGCATTTCGAGGTGGGATCATTTCTTGGTTTTACGAATCGTGTTGGTGTGTTCCTGGACGATCTTGATTGATTACAACGATTTTCTAGTCGAATGCATCGATGAATTTAATTATTTTGAGCTGATCAACTGATATCGATATGCATCCACTATTATCAATTGTCATCGTCACTGTCATTCATGGCGATAAGTTTGGTGCAGAAAAAAAAATTGAGAACAAACGAATAAAGTTGTTTATATGTGTTTGATTCAACCAGTTTGGAATAATATTTCAAGTGACAACAAAATTAATCGTATTCAACAAATTTCTTTTCTTGCAAAATGAGAGTATTTCAATCCAGTGACATTCGTAGCCTGCATGATGCGTTTTCATATGTCTCACACAAATCTGATAAATTCACCGGTTTTGTTTATCTGCTCAACCATGACCATATCCTTAAAGTACAAATCCATCTCCGATGGTCTAGAAATAATTCGGTTTATTGCTTCCAGCAACAGTGATTATCCATCCCCATTTCACATACCACGCAAAATCTTCAACGAGCATGAATCCTTCTTGAACTTTTATGCGCCGAATTTTCCATTTTCTACTTAGCATTCAAACAACCTCTCATCACCAACAAGAAGTATTCATCACAATCCAACTGAATTCAGGTCGAGATGTGAGATTCAAAAATCAAAAAAAAAACAAACAAACAAAACAGATGAATATTAGTGGGAAATAACGTTCCTTCCTTTGTTCATCTCTGACGTTCTTTTTGTTAATCGGATTTCATTCGATATGACAAATTGTTCTATTTGTTTCTTATTCGTAAGCAATACTGATTAGTGTTCTCCTTTATTCTTGTCAGTTTAATTTTCTTTGTTACGAAAGTTTCATCGAGAGTATCATCACCTCAATTGGACATGAAATTAATCACCTAAGATGTGAGCAAAAAGTAAACAATGAAAATGTTCGCCATCAGAACAATATTTGTGAAGGAGGTGACCCATATAATTTTATTTACATCCCCTGATACCATGAATCTTTTGGATTTTTTTCTTTTTCAATATTTAGTCTTAACATGTTCCGTGATGACAACACTTCCTTGTGTTGCACTAATGTTCAAGAAATCTGGGAGTCGCATTTGGAGTTAAGGATTAGGTACTAAAGTAAAGTGAAAAGATAAATCATGGGATTGTGAAGGAATCAGGTGAAAATTCCTGCCGGCTTGGATGCGGTTAGCAGTGAGCGATAAGAAGAATCACGGAAAAAAAATAAAGTGACTCGAATGGCGAATGACTATGAAATCAAGATGAAATAATGCCATCATTCAACTGCATTTTATGTTTTTTGTTTGAGAACTGAATTAGTTTACAATTAATTACGACTGGTTGCTAATTATGATTAGAACTGATTATGATTAGTTGCTCACTGACCGTTATATGAAAGAGAACGCGTCTCACAAACTGGCTCGAGAAAATCGTAAAATTGAGGTGATCGATTAGCAGTTGCATTCTAGAGATGGAAATTTGNTGAGATAGTTTGCTAATTGTAAGCTTATCCTGCTACTCAAATAGTTCAGAATCAATCCACTGAGATAGTTTGCTAATTGTAAGCTTATCCTGCTACTCAAATAGTTCAGAATCAATCCACTGAGATAGTTTGCTAATTGTAAGCTTATCCTGCTACTCCGGTTGATTTGTCAAAATATGTAAAGGGCTCGAATATGTGCATTTATCAAAATTTCAGTATGACTCACACTGATCAGCGGAACTGTGCAACGCTGCAGGGAACTTCGCTGATCGTTCAATTCATTAGAATCTCATCCACGCCTCCACTGGGCAGAACTGGGCTAGTACTGCTGGTTTTCCCTACGTTGCATTCANAATTTCAGTATGACTCACACTGATCAGCGGAACTGTGCAACGCTGCAGCGAACTTCGCTGATCGTTCAGTTCATCAGAATCTCATCCACGCCTCCACTGGGCGAGAACTGGGCTAGTACTGCTGGTTTTCCCTACGTTGCCTTCATCGGTCGCGTAGGGTGGCTAGCGAGTTTACTTTGAAGAAAAAAAACTATTTGCTTGTGAGGAACTTTTTGATTTCGTTCTCCTTGAGCACAACATCAGATTCTGTTCATCCACAGTTCTTCTCTTTAAGGTACTACTCGCCTCCCCCCTTCAGCCAAGCACGCCTCAACCAGATCCACTCTCATGCCAAAACGTCTCTGAATAATACTGATATTTTTATTTGGCGAAGTGATACTTGGCGAAGTATCTGTATACAAGAGGTTTATGTTGAAAACTTGCGAATTTTATTTCACGAATTTGAAGATGCATGGCGTACATTTGATTGTCAAAGTTGCAACTAAATGTGCTCTTTCGATTTTCTTCCAAAGATTGAAGATAAATGAATTTGACGTTTTCTCACGGTTATTTCATCGTGCCGATGCACATTCTCAACGATACTAATTCGAAACGTTCTTATTCAGGTGTATTTTATTCCTTTTCACATCGTATATTTTTTTCAGGTTTATTCTTGTTTGCTGACAAACCGTTCAGTGATCTACGTTCAAGATGGCGATGGCAAATCGAGGTCGTAATCAAAAACTTCCGCCTGAAGTGAACCGTATATTGTATGTGAAAAACCTGCCATATAAAATCACCAGCGAAGAGATGTACGATATTTTCGGGAAGTTTGGTGCAGTTCGACAGATTCGAGTGTAAGTTTTGTTTGTTCTTTGGTGTTTTCGTAGGCTGCGAAATGATGAATTTAATAGACATATCGTTAAAAAAAACTTAATTGCCTCGTGAACAGTTTGTGTTTGATCGTTGTTTTCTTCTTCTTCAGCTCTGACTTCTTTTTATGATTAGTTCGAGTCGATGTGTGACACTGAAAGGCGTACTTTACAAGCT